AAAATCAGGACTTTTTTAAAACGCCCCAGGACACGGGACAAATTGTTATAAACTGTTCCGCCAAAATCGGGACGTCTGGTCATCTTAGATATAAATCTAACAAGCAAACAAATAAAAAAATAGAAACAATCTTGTTAGCTTAAACGTATTTAGCCTGAACTACTTCGGAGACTGTGGTAGGTCAGGGGTGTCAAACTCAATTTCATTGAGGGCCACATCAATGCTTTTCCCCCCCAGAATGAGGGATGGGCATTCTGTAGTGCCAAAACATCACTAAAACCAACTTTCTAAACAATGAAAGATTTTCTCTTTAGCCACTAGATGGAGTTCAATACATGTTTAAAGAACAATAATAGCCTATAGATATACCAGTGTGGTGTAAGTAAATTAGGTAAATTAGTTGCTTTTCTCTTAATTTATAATCCTTAGAAGAGCTCTTCTATAGGGACCCTGCCATGGTTTAATTGAAACTGGAAATATAGCAGAGGAAACTGTTTTTACCCACTTGCTTTGTCCTGTTTTCCCCACTGGAAATAGCTGTTTGCAAGTAGAGATACTTTCCTAAGAATATCAGCATGCACATGAGGTATCTCAGGGTGGGGAAGATTGAGAAATACGGGGACAACAGCTGTCGAGAGCTCTTGGTTGGGAAATTTGTACTCATGCTGGAGCTGGTCCTTGCATCCAGGCTGTGAGGTTGCCAAACTGGAGTATCTAATGTGAGCTGTTATTGAAATTTTCTAGATCTGTGATGGTGAACCTATGGCACACGGAGCCATTTGTTAGGGCACGCGAGGCATTGCCCTGTCAGCTCCAGCACGCATGTGCGCGGTAGCCAGCTGACTTTGGTCTTCTTTTAAGGCCATTTTTCACCCTACGGAGGCTTCCTTGAAGCCTCCAGAGTGTGAAAAAACCGCCCCTATGGGCACACCGGAAATTCAGGAATGGGCTTCCAGTTTGCTCGTAGGGTTGTTTTTTGCCCTCCGGAGCCTTCAGGAGGCTTCCCTGAAGGCTCCAGAGGCCAAAAAACAGCCATACGGACAAACCGAAAGTCACCATTCCCAAACTTCCAGGTTGTCCGTAGAGCCATTTTTCGCCCTCCAGAATGTGATGGAGGAGGCTGTTTTTGCCCTCCCCAGGATCCTTAAAAGGCTCTGGAGCCCAGGGAGGGCAAAAAAACGCACCAAAAGGGGGCTTGCGCCAGTTATTGTGCATGCATGCATGCGCGGGTTGCATGCATAGCATTATGGGTGTGGCTCATGCCTGTGCACACCCTTCCTGCGCTCCCCCCGCTTTTGGCATGCGATCCAAAAAAGGTTAGCCATCACTGTCCTAGATTGTCAGAAGACATTATGGGATTAATGTTTATACCCTGTATTTTGGATTGGATTGGATTGGATTTATTACATTTATATGCCGCCCTTTNCCGGAACAGCCAGGTTTTAACAGCTTTCCTGAAGGCCCATCAGAGTGGGTATGGTCCGGATCTCCGGGGGTAGCTGGTTCCAGAGAGTCAGAGCAGCCACAGAGAAGGCTCTCCTCCGAGGGCCTGCCAGCCGACACTGTCTGGCTGACGGCATCTGAAGGAGGCCCAATCTGTGGGATCTTACTGGCCGCTGGGAGGTATGTGGCAGCAGGCAGTCTCGAAGGTACCCTGGCCCTAAGCCATGTAGGGCTTTAAAGGTAATAACCAACACCTTAACTACTCAAAATGTCCACTATCGGTTTTCCAGAACCTGTCAGAACCGGCTGAATGCCACCTCTGAACCTTCCCAAGCCTGACTGACCAGCCTTACCACCAAGCCAAGCCTAATGCCACCCAATAGACATGAAAGAGAAGACTCTGAGATGGACCGTGAAGACTAAAGACTCTTTTCAATACCCAGAAGACAGCTGGAAAGACTATAGGAGAGGGTGGAAATTCATTATAAGATTTTCTTTCTTGCCACAGTTATGTTATAACAGGGTTAAATGGACTCGTGGAGGGATGGCATTTGGGAATGGTTGACACATCAAGTTCTGAACACCTTGGACTTCTGTCTGGTGGGAGGGAAATTTGCCATGTTTGCATTTCCTGTATTGTAGCATACACTACACACACAGACATCCCACTTAGAATAAGACTGAGGCTATCCCCTTCACCTACCTCCAGACAAAGCTTCTCCTAGAGTGGTTCTTGCTCTGTGACACTAAGGCCCAAGCAGTTATATCTCACTGCCAATTCCACGGGGAAGGGGGCACCCCCCCCAAGGCAATGCCCTCACTCAAAAGAGGTAGCAGAAAAGAGATCTCCAAACCCTAAGCCCTCATTGTGACTCACAAATGATGCCGCCCAACAAGGCTGAGTATGTTCCACTGGTGCCTCATTAGTAGGAGTTCCAGGGTTCAATGTGTGTAATTTGAAACATATTAATAGCCCGGATTAGACACTCGCTAACCTCCATTTGGCCTCACAAACCTTGGCTTCACTGAAGTAAGAACTAAGACAGGTTCAGGAAATGGGCAGCCCGTAGTTATTGAAAGCAAAACCATCTGTGAGGAATTTGGGGGCTTTTGCTTGCTTCAAAGCTGAAGCCCCTGAAGGATTCCTTTTCTGATACCTTTATCAATGCCTTCCCCTTTGCATCAGAATTTTTTTTTAAAATAATCAAGTCTCCCTGATCAGATCAATTCCTAATCTTGGACCAGAAAAAGTGTGAGACCCACACTTTTATGTCCCAAAGGGGAGATTGAGGGAAGTCACCTCTCCTAGAAGAATGAAATATTTTGAAAAATATTTAAAAAGGCAGAATATTATTTTTCCCTAAAGGAGAAACATGTTTCTAAAGACGGAAACCAGCTCCTTGCCCACAGCAGATATTTGGTGGCCATTAAGAAGGACAGGGCCAGCCTATCTACAAAACAAAAGACCTCCAGCTCCAGGGTGATGGGATTAAAACATGACCCTCCAGGACAATATAGGATTATCTTGCATTATGAAATCACCTGGGGACAATGCATCACCTAGCAAGATTCAACCAAGCCTGGGACTCAGCCTACAAAGTTAGCTATGACCCCTGCATATCCCCCTGGGAGTTTGACAGTTAATAGAATACCTGCTCTTGCCACAGGAACAGGAAGCTCAAGTTCAAAGCTCAAGGGGGGGGTATAAATACCTCTCACTCTCCACTTCCGTGGGTTCAGACCTAAAACTCATGTGGTCCTGTCCATCAATACACCATTTTTCCAATCCTCCTCCATGTTTCCAGTCTCTTTCTCCCCACTTGGAACTGAACCAGATGGTTATTTCTTCCAACACTGGCATACCATGGATCAGGGGTTGGGGACCCCTGGACTAGAAGACCTCCAAGATCGCTTCCAACCTATTATTCTCTTGTTCGGTGTTTGATGTTCTAACTTTGCTAGACCAGCCTCTGAGTTGGCATTTTGTAGCTAATGAAGGTTTAGAACATGGCAGCTTTTTTCAAACAAAATCAGAGGAGGAAGGACTATTAGATCAAGTTGGCCATCTTGACTTATTTACAAACATAATAAAAGCGGATTCAAAACTTCTGGGGGGAAAATCATGAGCAACAGGTCCAATATATGAAAATGCCACCATTAACCAAATACATCCAATCAAACTGATAGAAGAAAAATGAACACCCTGGTTTGATGGTAGGTCTAATTTTCATTCTCCCTTCCATGCTGCTGGATCCTTTCTGGGAAGATTTGTCAGTGGGGATTTCTGGAAAGAGAGGAGGGGGATTCCCAGCTTTCTTGCAAAGCAGCAGCTGCAGGCATGGAGGGGTGAAGCTGGGGAAAGGGGAGGAGGAGGGAAGGGGGGAGAGGTTTCATTATCAAGTGCTTGAGCGGAGATCAGCCGAGGTGGTGCAGTGGTTAGAGTGCAGTACTTCAGCTGACTGTTATCTGCAGTTCGGCAGTTCAAGTCTCACTGGCTCAAGGTTGACTCAGCCTTCCATCCTTCCGAGGTGGGTAAAATGAGGACCCAGANCTAAAATGGGCACAATGGAGCCTGGGTAGGAATTTTGGCTCAGCATGAGAACCCAGTCACCATATTTGCACATTATGGGAATCAGGCCATCGCTGTCAGACCTGCCCGACTTGGTCCTTTAGTCAAGAAAGACCCTCGACTCCATTTGTAGTGAAAGGTATACTTTTACTAAGAGCCAAGTGGATTACAGTCTAGCAAAAACCAGAACTAACGTTCACATGCCAGAATTCCCTGGTTAACTTTCCCCATCCAGTTCCTCTCCTCCCCTTGTCCCTTATTGTCCAAATATATTTGAATAAATAGTTTTGGGAACAGTTGCTTCAACGACAGATGAGTTGGTGAGTCATTGCATTCCATTCCCGGAGTTTTGAACTTGAGTTGGTATTTCGGCAGTGGTGGGTTGCAGGCGGTACGCCCCGGTACGGGCGTACCAGAGCCTGCCTGGAGCACTGGGTACCACCCGCCCGCCCTCGCTCCTTACCTGTCTTTAAACTCTTCGGCGCTTACGTGCACAGCGTGTACAATGCCTGTGCGACACTCCTTGGATGGTAAGACCATGCACATGCTGTTCACATGTGTGCGCACGCTGCGTGCGTTTGTGTGGAGGACACGCCCCCCGTTGCAACCATACCAGTTGCAACGGGATCCGTAACCCACCACTATATCTCGGATGGTACGACGAGTAGTTGGCTTCATTAATTTCACTTTCCCCCAAGCATTCAACCCCTTCCCCTTCGACTCCCGTCCTGATAGCGAAGGTGAAACTCAAGCAAATGACGGCAGCCATGACAATCACATTCAGCCATAATGTTATTGATTTGGTGTAGGCTGTGCCTGATATGGAAACTCAGCAATTGGGAGTTGTTAACATGTCTTAAGGATTAAGCATGGCTGAGAGCAAATTTGGGTGGCTATTAGGCGTTGAACTCAGCTTCAAGCCCCTCGTCTGCCATGGGGGGCTTTGGAGGTGTTTTTCTCTCACAGCTCAACCAGCCTCATTGTGTCATTGTTATGTGAAGATAATGGAGGGGGGAGTGTTATATAAGACCCCCGAGGCTCCAGAAGACAAGGAGGGCATCAATCTAAGATATCTAATAAAATGAACCAGTATGAACCCAACCGTAGTAATTTGATGTATCTTTTGTAATAAGAGCTGCAATAGGAAGGAATCCGTGCCGAGCATCATTGGAATTTCCCACAATGCACCAGGTTTAATTAGGCTCCTTGGGCATTGTGGGAAATCTGAATGGCTTGGACCAGAAAACCTCTTATAGAAAAAATCTAAAGAGGTTAGCAGTGAATCACGGTTCGGCTTGCATGCTCTGGAAAAATCTGAAAGATGCCGGAGGCTAAGGCCATCAGTGGACATTTGTCACCATGACCAGGAAGGACCATTGGTGTTTTCTCAGGGGAAAAAGCTACGCTTAGGTGGATAATCAAAGATGTCCGCAGAAGGAGGTCAAAACACTCAACATGGCAATAGAAGCTCTGTCCTCTTTTTATGAGAAGGAGCATCCCCGTTAAAAAGAGCCGGGATTTGATTATGTGGTGGCCTCAGACATTTTGATTTTTTCAGACTCACTCCACTGAACCCAGTAGGCCTTTGCTGGTGAGCCGTGGTGGTGCAGTACTGCAGGCTACTTCTGCTGCCTGCCGGCTGCCTGCACTTTGACAGTTCGAGTCTCACTAGGCTCAAGGTTGACTCAGCCTTCCATCTTTCTGAGGTAAAATGAAGATCCAGATTGTTGAGGGCAATAAGCTGACTGTGTAATCCACTTAGAGAGGGCTGTGAAGCGGTATAGAAGTCTGTTATTGCCATCTCTGATTACTTGAAGGGACAAAATGGGGGGGGGGGAGGCAGATTAATTCTAATATTTTTTGTGTTTGTGTTCTCTCCACAGCCTCTCCCTTACCGAGCTACCATCTTTGGGGGCTTTTGCCCATCCAAATCAATAATAGTTTCAGGCTCTGTGTCCCCTTCTGCTCAGAGGTAAAGACTAAGAAATATTGTTGTCTGTCTGTCTCTAATTGTCTTATCATCTAGGTATGTATATCTCTATCATCTATCTATCCATCCATCCATCCATCCATCCATCCCTCCCTCCCTCCCTCCCTCCCTCCCAACCGTATTTTTCAGAGTATAAGTCGCACCTTTTTGTCTCAAAAAGAGGCTGAAAATCTGGGTGCATCTTATACATTGAAGAAGGCATTTCTTTGCCTTCTGAAACCCCGCCCACTTCACCAAAATGGCCACGCACAGCTTTTAGGAGGCTTTCAGAGAGCTCCTGGGGACTGGGGAGGGTAGAAACAAGCAAAAAAACGGGCCGTGTTTTGCTCAATTTTGCCCCTCCAGTCCCCAGGAGCATTCTATAAGCCTACATGTGGCTATGCATGCACAGCACAGAAACCGCTTTGGTCGCATTGACCGATGATCTTTGGAGGGCCAGAGATGGAGGCCATGCCTCCATCATAGTTCTCCTCGATCTCTCGGCGGCTTTCGATACCATCGACCATGGTATCCTTATGTGACGACTGCGGGAGGTGGGAGTGGGAGGCACTGTGTTACGGTGGTTCTCCTCCTACCTCTCGGACAGGTTGCAGTCTGTGTTAGTGGGGGGGCAGAGATCGACCCCTAGGCCCCTAACATACGGGGTGCCGCAGGGTTCGGTCT